CTTCTCAAATATTGGGTTCTTCAGGCATCACTAGCACCAATGCAACATCTGAAGTCAGCTATTTGACATTGTTAAATGCCACAGATCATGTCGCATAGTGAAGTGCAACAGTGAATCTCATTCTGACCATTCATTTTCTCGTCAGTCCAAAATTACTCTAGCTAGGTCACATTTCTCCAGAATGTAAAGGCTCACAAATTTATGACATGAGGCACAGGATGACTCTTTAATGTAGCATTGACTACAGTATGATTTATATTTTTAAAAATCCTGTCCTAAGTCATGAAATTCAGAGGCAGAGAAACATATTACTAAGAAGGAATGGATTTCATTTTACATGCACAGAATATTAAATCCAGCATGGTTTCAAAGGTTCACACAAAAGAAATAGTGGGTATGCCCATGACAGATGGTCTCTTTTGATCTGTATAGAGGAACTGGGGTCTAATTATTTTCTTCTTTTGCTGGTCTTGAACTTATAATTACCAAACATGATTCAGATAATCAATGCCATGTTTGACATCTACTCCATGATATAAATCAGAGAGTCAATTCAATTTGGGTCAGGGGAAAGGAATCACTATTCTATTGGTATAAATATCATGATACCCAAGTGCCCGCAAACTGTGTCTTTCAGGAAGGAACTTGTTTATATCTTCAAAAAGAAGAAAAGAGGGCATAAACCATGCCTTCGAATGTTTGATTCTTTAACTTTTAAAATTTCCAAAGGGGTAGCCATTTTGGCTTACTGTCTCAAAAACAATCAAATAGTCCTGTGACATCTTGAAAATGAATGAATTTACTGGATACATGATGTTTTGTGGACTGTAGTCAACCTCCTCAGATATATGGAATATTATCTGTGCTTGTGTATAGACACAGTACTCATTGTTGTGGGTAGGAATATAGGCAGTGAGATCAGTGGAAAATTAAATGCAAAAATGTTGATAATACTTGTCATTCATAACATGCATGCTGATATCTGAAACATCCTGACACTTGGGTGACAGTTCACAGTCAGATTATAGGCTGTCATCCTGTCAGTTGAATCATAGAATCATAGAGTTGGAAGAGACCACAAGGGCCATCCAGTCCAACCCCCTGTCATGCAGGAACTCCCAATCAAAGCATCCCTGACAGGTGGCCATCCAGCCTCTGCTTAAAGACCTCCAAGGAAGGAGACTCCACTACTCTCCGAGGGAGTGTGTTTCACTGTCGAACTGCCCTTACTGTCAGGAAGTTCCAATTAGAATCCAATTAGAGTAGACCCATTCAATAAATTGTTGAACCTTCTGCTGATACACTGGAAGTTCCTGAACTCAAGAAGTGTAACTCAGCAATCCTTCACTTCCATCTCCCATGGAGATATCATCTTTCGACAGGGGCATCACTGGGCTTAAAGCTGATTCAATAAAAATCACAATGTTTGGATATGGGTTTCTGTATGCTTTTCCCCCTCTCATATGTGCCTTTAATTCCTTGTAATGTTTAACCACCTGGAATTAGCATGTAGCTTTTACATCATCTATGACAGTGACAGGGAATGCCACAGGCCACTCAACTAGTGGTCAGGAATGATAGGAATTACAGTTTAATGACATCTGGAGGGCCACATGTTCCCTGCCATGCATCTAACAGGAACCATGGAGAGATAGTGACTGGAGGTCAAAAGTACCGTATTTTTCGGCATATAAGACACATTTTTTCTTCCCCAAAACGAGGGTGGGGAAGTTGGTGTGTCTAATAAAGTGAATATACAGGCTGAGGGCAAACTAAAGAAGTACGGTAACTGCTGAGGCCTAGGCTAAAAGTAGGCCTCATTTCAGCCTCAGCCTCGGTGCTCCAGTGGGCTCCGCCCATCCCAGGAAGAGCCCATTGAAGCACCCAAGACGGGGGTGGAAAGAGTCCCCTTTTCCTGAGTAGTTGAATGGGCTCCTCCTCTTTCCACCCCCGTCCTGGGTGCTTCAATGGACTCTTCCTGGGGTCAGAGGACATCCTCCCATCCCAGGAAGAGTCCATTGAAGCACCCAGGATGGGGGTGGAAAGAGTCTCCCCCTTGAAGAAATCTGCCAAGAAAACCATCATGGTAGGGTCAAAATAAGCCAGAAATTACTCCAAAGCACTGGATTACCCTGGCCAAGTTACACTCTCTCAGCCTCAGAGGGCGGAAATGGCAAACCCACTCCTCTGAAGAAATCTGCCAAGAAGACCCTCATGGTAGGGTCAAAATGAGCCA